GTTTTTCGAGACAGGGTTTCTCTGTGTAGCTTTGCGCCTTTCCTGGAGCTCACTTGGTAGCCCAGGCTGGCCTCGAACTCACAGAGATCCGCCTGTCTCTGCCTCCCGAGTGCTGGGATTAAAGGCGTGCGCCACCACCGCCCGGCCCACCTTTTTTTAATGCTTATTTCTTCTTTCTTTCTTTCTTTCTTTCTTTCTTTCTTTCTTTCTTTCTTTCTTTCTTTCTTTCTTTCTTTCTTTCTTTCTTTCTTTCTCTCTCTCTTCCTTCCTTTCTTCCCCTCCCCCCAAGATATGGTTTCCCTGGCTGTCCTAAAACTCCCTCTGTAGACCAGGCTAGCCTCTAACTCACAGAGAACCATCTGCTTCTACCTCTGAGTGCTGGCCAGAAGAACCTATTTTTAACATATAAATGTATTTAGTTAACACTGTGTGTATGGAGGTGGGGAGCATGCCGTATAGCATGCCTGTGGAGGTCAGAGGTTAACTTGGTGGAGGTGGCTTTCTCCTGCCACCTTCACATGGGTTCTGAGGATTGAACTCAGGCTGCCAGGCTTATGTGGCAAGAGCCTTTACCCACTGAGGTACACTGCCTGCCCCCTCCCATCCTGTTTTAAATGCACAGGATGGGAGCATGGTGGTGTGCATGCCCCTCTGCCCCTGGCATCCCTATAGGGGATCCACGCTAAGCTGCCACAGCAGCCCCATTCCCCCATCCCACCCATTCTCTCCCCCCCCCCCCCCCCCCCCCCCCCCCTTACCCTACCCATACTCTACTCTCCCCACCCCACCCTTGCTCCCCTCGCCCCGCCCATGCTCCCCTCCCCTCCCCCTCCTCCTCTCCCCTCCCCCTTCCCCCCACTCCCCTCACCCCAGCTCCCAGAAGGCAGCTTCTGACACTTCCTGTCAGTGGTGTCCTGAGATGGGGTCTCTCACTGAGTGTCCTTCCGTCCGCTCTCTGTTGGAAAGCTGGAGACAAGGCTTCTCCTTCTGTGACCTGCCAGTACACCAGGTCTCTCCACATTTCCTTTATCCATTGCCTGTGGACTCAGGTGGTTCTCACTTGCAACTACTCCAAACGACGACGCTACTGGGGTCATGGGTGTGCACGCACTCGTTTGAACGTCTGCCTTTATTTCTCCTGAGGATAGGCCTGGGCTTTGTGCCGTACAACAGTCCAGAACAGCACAACCCTAAATGCTGAAATCCCCAAAGGAAAACAAATGTCTAACATTGAAAAGTACAGCCATGAAAGATTTAAATTCTGGAGACACACAAAAAATTAAATTCTTTAAGAGACCTGTTGACATTTCAAAGGGAGATTCACTTGAGAGACAGAAGCATATAGCAGAACACTTCAGAGGCCACTATATACATAAAATAGAGAAGCAGAACATAGGTACCCATGTCAGCGTTACTGGGGGGCCCCCTGGTGACTGCATGGCAGTTCTGAGCAGACAGACCACGCTCACTCAGTGGGAGACGGCACCATCTCTGCAGCTGGGCACCCAGCTTTCTCACCTTAGTCGTGTGGGTAAGGGATAAGCTGTCCCCCAAGGAGAGACGCCACCCAAAGAGTGGGTTCCAACAACTTAATCTTTGACCAAAGTGGGCATCTAGAAAGGGCATGTCACAGGCCAAGGGGGCGTCACAGGCCAAGGGGGCGTCAGTGTTTCCTGGGTGCACATTTCGTGCACCCAAAGTCAGTGTGTGAGAGTGCTCTTTCCCAAGCCACGCTGGCCAAAGTGCCAAGAAATGATTAATTAGAACTCTCTAGAAGTCTTTATGGGATTTACACTTCCAGGACTGTGAGGATGTGAGTGAAAACAAAGAGCAAATGAAAGACACCACTGATAAGTGAAATGTTGGAAAAGAACCAAAAAAAAATAGACTAAAATAAAGTAAAATCCAAAGAGGTTGTGACTGAGGACTGAGGCATGGGTGGACTGTGGACCGTGTATACGGGCCATCTCCGGGAGGTGATCCCATCCTATCCTTGGACTGTGTTTGGAAGTCTTGAGTCATGGTGGGAAGCTGCTGTTTTTCAGTTAGGGCCTCATTTCTTGGAGACCATGTTCCCTTTCATTTCCTCTGAGGGTCTCCCCAGTACTGGTCTTTGGAGAACCCCTTACAGGCACAAACATGTCCCCAGGATTCTAGGCATTCTTCGGGGTGCAGGAACCAAGGCCATACAGAGAGATGGATCCTAGCCACAATGCCCAGCTTGTCACCCTCTCGTGCAGGCTTTCCCCCGGGAACTGAGGATTTCAGGACATGAGCTTTTGGGGTTTGGGTTTCGACATTCGGAATTTTAATATTTCAGGATCAGGACTTTAGACTTGGAGGAATTCACGCTTTCAAGATTTCAGCATTTGGGGTTGTGATTGACACCGAGTTCCTGGGAGAGGATTTCACTGAGTGTCTAGCTCCTAATCCATTACCTCCTGTCCCAAGTGCCCCACATGCACCCATCACAGCAGGCTGGGAACACAGGCCCGGAAACGGGAACCCAGGGGCCCACTCCAGGGCATCTGTGGGGTTTGTGCCCACTGTGTTTCTCGGTGGAGTTCTTTGAGGAACTTGTAAGCTGTTTGCCACAGAGGCTTCAGCACCTTCCACTCCACCAGCGATGTGTGGGAACTGATTCCTCCCTTCCTGCCTTCCTCCTTCCCTACCCCCTTCCCCCTCCCCCCCCTTCCACCCCCCACCAAAACAGGACAGCTCTTCCCCTCCTCCTCCTCTGGATCTTGCCAGCCACTGCCTGGCCTGGCTTCATTCTGGCCACCTACTAGGGTACTCACGGCCAGCACAGGAAGGTGAGGAGGAGGAGGAGGAGGAGGAGGAGGAGGAGGAGACAAAAGTGATTGGCAGTTCCTTGTGCCAATGAGGAGGTTTCTTCTGGAAACGTCCTGCCCTAGGCCTCTAGGGACATTCGCGGGTATGTTTTTGGCGTTAGTGTTGGGAGGAACTTGGAGCCGACCTCCTTGGTGCCTGCCCCTACCCCTCTGTACTCACCTTTAGTCAGGTGGGATGGACACTCCTCGTCTTCTTTCTCCTCCTCTTGACTCCTCTCCGCCACACCCGCCTTTCTTCTGACTCTTTCCCTGGCTATATCCTGAGACAGCATGTCTGAAGGGCAGCCTAGATGCCTGTGTCTGTGAACTTCTAAAGTAGTCTCTAGCTCCAAACAGAGGACGACTCGGGTCCAACCAGGTACCACACCCATGGATAGTTCAGCAGCCTGCATGGCTCCTCCAGCTCCCCGCAGCGTTAGAGAGGATTCCCCCATCACTGCCTCCCTTTACTGCATCCTGGCCCTTTTTCATCCCCACTTTTAAAAACTATGCTAAAATATACATAGCATAACATTTACAACGATAACCATTTTTTAAATCCTCAATCCATCTGGATTTTGTTTTAAGTTTATGCTTAACTGATACATAAAAACATAAAAATTGTACATATGGATGAATGGGGTACATGTGGTATTTTGATACATGCACACATTGCGTGATATTTAAATTAGGTTAAATGCGTCCATCTCCAAACATTTATCATTTCTGTATGATGAAACATATTCAGCATCCTTTCTCATAAACGTTTGGTGTTTTACAGTGTGTTATTATTAAGGGCGGTTAGAATAACTTCAGCTGTAGCCCAGTTGATCGGCTTCTTTCCGCTGGTATCTCACAACCCTCCCCTCGTCTTCCGTGTTGGGAATTGAACCCAGAGCTTTACACCCGCTAGGCTAGCCGTCTGCACTGAGCCACACCCCTAGCTTTTGTTTATGTATTTATGCTTATGGCAGGATCTTACTATGCCCTGGCTGGCCTCAAACTCACAAAGATCCACCTGCCTCGGTCTCCTGTGTGCTAGAATTAAAGGTATTTACCCCCTCCCAGTCTTTAAAACAACAACAAACAAACCAAGTCTTTTATTTTGAGACAGGGTCTTAAGTTGCCTGGCAGGAATTGAACTTAGGATTTTCCTGCGTCAGCCTCCTAAGAAACTGTTGTTTGTTTGTTTGTTTTTCAGGCCTGTCCCTCCACCTAACTTCTTTTTTGTTTGTTTTGATTAACTTTTTTTCTTTTATTATTGTTATTTGTTTTTGGAGACAGGGTCTCATTGTGTAGATCTGGCTGGCCTAGAGCTCATACAGATACTCCTGCCTCTGCTTCCCAAATGCTGGGAGGGGCTAAGGGCATGTAACATCACACCAGCATTTGTTCTGCTTTTTAGGTGAGGGTCTCACTGTGCAGTTTTAAATTCACAGTCCTCCTACTTCAGCCCCTCGGAGTGCTGAGGTTGCAGACATACACCACCATGCCTGGCTTAATGTTTTTAGGTGCACAGCCAAAAAAATAAAATGCACATCAATTTGTATTCCTATGCAGTCATCACCACCATCCATCCTCAGAACATTCTCCTCTTCCCAAATGGATCCTCTGTCCCCATTAACACCAACCCTGAAGCCCCTGACAGTCCCTGGCATCCTCTGTCTCTCTGGAGCTGATGGCCTAGGTGAACTCAGAGATGTGGAATCCTGACAGACTTGTCCTTTTGTGACCAATGTTGCTCAGCTTGATGTCTCTGAGGCTCATCCCTGGTGTATCAGGGACCATTCTCTCTTCTTGCTTAAAGCGAAGAGCATCCCGTTGTGTGGATGGGCATCGTGTTGCCGATCCGTCATCTGTCATTGGACCTCGTTTGTTTGTTTGTTGGTTTGCCTTGTCTGTTGGGAGCATTGCCACTGTGAGCATGGTGTGCAGACATCTGTTCACACCCCTGCCTCTGATGCTTTTACCCAGAAGTAGACTCGATGGCGATTGTGTTAATTTGGTGTTTGCTATGTGAAGACTCACCAGACTATTTCCCAGGGACTCCGGCATCTGACATTCCTGCCAGCATGTGTCTCTATACCTCACCCACACTTGGTCCTCGTCCTGTTGAGCCATATGTGGTCTGATATGTGATGTCCTAGCCTTGACCTCTGGTCTGTGGTGAACCCTGACTCTGTCCCAGATGCCCTCATCGTTTCTCCTTGCTTCACACACACACACACACACACACACACACACACACACACACTTTGCACACACTGTTCAACACCATGTTGCCCAGGCTGAGTGTCCAACCACTCTTCTCTCCCTGCAGCTTCTGTCTGTGTTTGAACAAACCATGGAACCGTGCTGACACCCAGGACATTGGACACCCCCCAGAAGGCGTGAGTGATGTCCCTCTGCTACCCTCAACTTCTTCCTCCCCTGACCCCATGAAGCTCCAGGACCCACCCAGGGGGTTCTGCATCTACCTGGATCCCCAGGACACTGAGCACCTGGGCCCATCGGGCCTCCTGCTCTTCCAGTACAAGCAGGCCCGGCTGCAGGCACTGGAGACCATGGCCGATGTCCTCAAGCAGCGTATTGACATCCTAACCACCAAGCTGCACAAGTCGACTTTCCCGGACACAGCTGGCGACCTGGCTCCGGACATGCTGCCCTTGGGCCCCAGCACAGCACCTGCCACCCCCACTCTGACCCCTCCCTCTTACCTCCGAAGCTTAGTGTCTGACGGGAGCAGAGGAACCCCCCAGGACTGGGTGGACATGCAGGCCAAGCCCCTTCTCCCCAGCACCTACTTCCAGGAGGGTGAGATGCTGCCATGGAGTCCCAGCTGGGAGCCGCAGAGCTTGAACCTGGGGGCCCATGTTGAGAACCAGCTCCAAGGTGGGACTGGGCAGTGGGTGTCATGCCTGCTGGGTGATCCTTGGTCTGGGAGCAGCAGGGCCCCACATTTCCTGTCTGGGGAGCAGGATGGGAGTTGCCCAGACAACGAGAATAGTAACAACACCTGAGGCTCCCTGAGTGATAGATAGCCATAGTTGTCTCGTCCCATGTTGGGGGAAGGGCGAGGTTCTTCCCAAAGCCTGCTGCCTATCTGCCCTACCTTCCCAAGGGGCAGGAAGGCCAGCAAGGCTTCCATGCTCTGCAGGTCCTGTGTGCAGCACCCCTGCCTCAGTGTCCCAGGTCATCCCTCACACTCAGCCTTGCCTGGCTAGCTCATCAAGTCACGGGGCCCTTTCCAAAGGTGTTATAGAGGAGAGACACCGGGAGCTGGAGAAGAGGCTGCAGAGGGAGATGGCTACCCTCCAGACCCTCGGCGCCTGCATGAGGAGGTGAGTCCAGTGGGCTGTGCTGTGTGGCTCTGCCTCTCACATCCCCTGCCGGGGTCCTCGTGTTAGCCCAGGGCCCACAGCCGGGAGTCTGGGTGCATCAGGCCGGGCGGAAAGTGACACAGGTTGTGTATCTGGGGACTTTGGCACAGGGTTCGTTGGCCTATCTGGGTTCACTGTCCCGGGAGTTCTCGGCACTTACCCTGTCCCTTCTTCTGGCCTTTGTCCCCAGCCCTCCCTGGCCCCCGTCTTTTCTCAGTGCAGTCCACACAGGAGCTTATGATGTCCCTTCTGTAGTGTTCATGACCCTCACACCCATCTCATCCTGTTTCCTCCGAGCTGTGTGTAGAAGGGCCCATTCTGCCCCCACCACGCTCCGCCCTTAGTAGCTTCCACTGAATCCAAGGCTGGGCATGGCCCAGGAGGCTTTTGTCCTGGGAACTCTGCAGCTGACCCTCAGCAGTTGCCCATCAGAAAGCTAATGGCTTCCTCTGTCTGCAGCTGGGGTTTCTGTCCTTTCCAGGACTTGGAAGCATGTTTAGCAACTCTCCTGAAAACTTCCTCTGCCTCCCAAAACGTCCCCCACCCCCACCCCCGGTCACCTGCCTACTGTTCTCTGGCCTGGGCCTTATCCAAGGCCTCCTCCAGTATTAGAAGCTCTGTGGTCCCCGGCAACCCCCATGCCTCCTCCTTCTCTGTGCCCTGTGCCACCCTCCAGACGGACCAACACACATCCTTCTCTGTCCTCACACTGCAGCACCCAGGCGGGGAACTCCAGCCTGTACAGCCTCTCTGTGGAGTTCTGGTCAGAAAAGAGGGTGGCACAGTCTGGAGGAGGCCGGGAGGCCCCTGCCACAGGGGCTCAGCTGGCCCCGTGTCTGTGCTTGACAGAGTTCACCAGAATGACCTCTGACCCCTGCTTGGTCCCCAGGCACAGAGGCGGTGTTATACTGCTAACCAGAGCCTGAGCTGCCTTCCACTTGGCAGCTGGTTAGTTATCTTAGAGGATAGCCCCCCTCACACACACAAGAAGAGGCGGTGCAGGGCCAGGGGTGAGGGCACGTGCCATACTCAGAGCAGGGAGAAGAGACTGTGAAGGAGGCCGTGGTAAAGATAGGTGTGGCGTGGAAGCCAAAGTGTGGCTGCGTCTCCACTTTCGCCCAGCCCTGGGGGAGGGTGTTTTTGACAAAGCTCATACTTCCTCTCCTCCCCAGGAGAGGTGGTCAAGTGCACTCGCTACAGCAAAAGGCCATGTGATCTCCCCAACCTCTACCCCTGCTCCTCCTGGAGCTGGGACACTTCCTCCAGATGCCTCACCTGACTCCTCACTAGGAAATGCACCTCTCCTCTAAGGCACCTCTAGATGGAGTTGGTGTTTCCCGGATGATAAGGCCTGTGTTGTCATTGGCCAGTAGGGGGCAGCATTGTGCTGAGATTTTCCTCAATGAGACCATTCCATGGACTGTTCCAGAATTTTTGGAGGTTTAATTTCAGTATCCCAGGTTCTTATAGGCAAGGGGACCCCCAGCGCCCCAGACCTAGGCGCATAAAGTCCTGGTGCTGACATTCCTGGCACAAAGCTACAGGGGTTGTGGCTTCTCCAGGGGTATCCAACTTGTTAGTCCCTGGGGTACTTTATCATCTATGTGGCTCACCCTAAGAACCCCCATTAGAGTTTTAAATGCTGGAATACATTGTTTTTGTGTTGGATGCGTTCATAGCTCTCCTGGGGCTCGTGTCATCTGTGGGCTGGAGGCTGGATACACCTAAGCCATCTTTTCACTGTGTTCCTGCCCCGGATGAGCACCCCCGTGTGGGTCACAGAGTTCTGCAGGACCAGTACAAACAAACCCAATAGCCAGGAAGACCGGAAGAGGCCGAAATCGTTCTCAGCTTCTGTTTCCCGGAAAGATGGGGGTTCTGGGGGAGCAGGGGGAGGCTTGCTGTTCTCACTAGGTAGCAGGCCCCAGCCAGGTGGCCCTGCCGTTTTACTTTTGAGGATCAAAGTCAGCTTTCTTGTTCCAGGCTTGTGGTTTTCCTTCTGTTCTGCTCAGGTGCACCATCTAGGGCCTGGGCCTCCTGTTGTGTGGGAGTCAACACTCAGGCTGAGTCTGGGCAGGACCCTCTCCTCAGCCCCACTGCACGTGGTGATGGGGTGCCCGACCCCTCACCATCTTCTCACAGTTAAGGGCACCAGGGGCTCTAACCAGCTGTCCATGGGACTTAGTCCCGCCCATCTCCACAGTTAACTCCACCCCATTGATCCTGCTTTCTGGAAACTTTCTGTGTCTGTGTTCCCACAGTGCCTTGCAGCCTTCACGTATGTCCATGTGTTCAGAAAGACCTTTACTCCAGGCAGGGGTTGGGTGTGGTCATACCATATCCTAGCCCTGCACAGCACCTGACCTGAAGGAGGCTGGGCCCCGGGGGCTGCTGGATGCAGGCATGGGTGACCTATTTGGTGGTTCAGGTGGAGTCCAGGTCACTCTGTGCCAGGGACAGATGGTGCCTTGGGGAGAAGGTAGAGTGAGCGGAGGCTGTGTTCGCCGCCCACACCAGCTAATTTCCATACTCATCCTCTGTGCTTCAGAGCCTTCTAATCCCTGCAGCTGCTGCATGTCCACCTGGACCAGGCAGCTTGCTGCCCACTCTGGCCGCTTTGACCTGGGTAAAGGCCATAGCCTTACCTGTCTGAGGGACGGCAGCTGCCTGGAGAGCATGCAGAGTAGAGGGTCTTTAGTCATGGCTATACCCCTCCCCTGAGGGCCCAGCTCTACCTCCCAGGCACAGCTAGAGTGTAGAGCCACAGTGCTAGCCATGAGGTGGGATTGTGAGGTGTCCCCTCATTCCACATAGCCTTGTGGGAAGTGTCCTTATCGGCCAACAGGGATGAACAGGGTGGCTACATTAGCACACTGGGCTGTGATCCCACCTGCAGAGCTGCTGGTGATGGAGCTAACATTGCACACTGGCTAGGCTGCTACACGCACACGCACGCACGTACGCACAAGCATACGCACATGCACACACACACACACACACACACACACACACACACACACACACTGTGACTATTCTTGGCTGATGGAGCCAGACCTTAAGCCCTCAGGTCTGTCTCTAGACACATTGGGTCTTAGGGCTGCTGGAGGCCACAGGAGCAGAGATTCCTGCCGAGTTAGGGTCCTTGTACTCCTCCTTTCGCCTCCCTGGTCCGGACTTCACTCATCACATGCTCATTGTCTTCTAGCTCACTTGGGCTGCCAGCTGCACCAGACCCCGCCTGTGGCTCCCTTTGGCAGGAGGAGATACCGGAAGCCAAAAAGGCAGGCTTGGTGACGCCCTGGACCAGCCAGAGCTGCGGTAAGGGCGAGCCTGCAGATAGGCCCTGGGCTGGCTGGTCGGGTGGCCAGGGGGGCCTCCTGTGGGCCTCTTCCACTGCCTAGCTTACAGGGTAGAGACCTTTTTCTATGTGACGGCTGCCACATGTCAGTATTAAAGTGTTTTGAGGTTCTCCAGCCCCCACCGCCTACTCTGCTCCTGTTGCGCCTGTCAGGATGTGTGCCATCACTGGTCTCTGGAATAGCCACACCCCTGCAACCCAGGAGTGTCACCCTTCTTTCCTTCCTTCTGTCTGCCAGCCCAGGTTCTACCTTGTCTTTGGTACTGAAGTGTCCTTGTTCCTAGGTTTCAGCTAAGGGAACTTAGGGCTGAAGAGCTGGCACCTGGAAGGGGTGTGAGGCATTCTCTTGCTGACCACAGAAGCCACAGACTCCCTGGGGGAGCCTGCCTGCCCTCAGGGTGCATCTTTCTGGTGGTCTGTAGGCTGCAGTGGGAGTGTTCCTGCCCAGCATGGCAAGGACATGGGTGCCAGGTTTGAACAAACCTGGAACTCTGTTCACTGTTTCATTACTATTTGCTTATTTCCCTCGGAAAACAGGTTTTGAGTAAGGTCGTAAGATACCCTGTAAGCCCAGCACTTAGGAGGCCAAGGGAAGAGGGTCACAAATTTAAGGCTAGCCTGGGTAATACAGAGTTCCAGGCCAGCCTGGGATACATAGTGAGACCCAACAAACAACAACAAAGCACACACACACACACACACACACACACACACACACACACACACACACACACGGGAAACAGTGCTGGGGATATAGATCAAGCATAAAGTGCTTGCCTAGCATGTATGAGGCCGTGGGTTCAATCCCCAATACTGTGCAATGAAACCAAACCAAACAGCAGCAACAAAAATGCTCATGCCTAGCTTTTAGAAACATTAAGAGTAAATGTGACCCTTAGCTCTGCCCAGATCCCTCAACCAGACAGAGTAGCCCTAGGGGATTGCAGGATAGGCATTATGGCCTGAGAAAGGTCCAGTTTTCCCTCCAGGGTAGATCCAGCAGAGTGGGTAGGGAATGTCCCAGATTGGGCTCCGAGCCATGGACATACCTGATAGATGTGAGTCAGCACTGAGAACTCTGTGTGTGTGTGTGTGTGTGTGTGTGTGTGTGTGTGTGTGTGTGTGTGTTGAGGGGCAGCTATCGGCTCTACACCATGAGAGAACCAGCAGGTGGAGGCTCCTGGTCTCTGGCTCTAGGAGATTTTCTCCCCTAGAATAGGATATCTGGGGGCTTCAGTCAAGAACTGCCAACTCTCCTAGGCTCCCGGACTACCAAAAAAACCTCAGTGGTCCATGGGCTTATTACTAGTGTCACACTGACTGAGTGTGACATCATGCCTGACACTGATCAAAGCTCAAGCCTCTGTCCCAGGAAAATCTGCATTTTGGGGGCACCAGGAGATGGCAGGTGAGAATTCTGGGCCAAGAGGGGCAGGAAGTACATTTGTGGAGATCCTCGGCCCACAAAGGCCCTGGTTGATATTTTTAGTTACTTGCCTTGTTGCTGTGACAAAAATCCCTGACTAGAATTAAGCCCAAAGAAGGAGAGGTTATCAAAGGTAGAGACTGTCATAGTGGAAAGCCAGGCGGCAGGAGCTGGAGGCAGCTGGTCACACAGCATCCGCAGTCTGGAAGCAGAGATAATGGATGCTGGTGCTCAGTCCAGAACCTGAGCCCGTGGGATGTTATGACTCACAGTCAAGGTGGGTCTTCTCACCTCAGTTTACCTGCTCTGGACCAACCCCACAGAGTTGCTGAGAGGCTTGTCCCTGCCAAGTTGACAATATTAACATCACATGGGTCTCCAGCCTGTTTCTGAGGGCTACTCTAACAGCCTGAGCTTATGATGAGCAGGGATGTGTGGGCTCACAGTTCAGAAAGTGGGAAGTCAAGAGCACTGACTGGGGCTCCTGCTACCCCACCACACAGCAGAAGGCCACAGAGCTAGACCCTCCCTTTTGTGCTCATTTCTTTCTTTTGAAACAGGGTAGCCTTATTTAACCCACTGTGTATCCAAGGATGGCCTTTATTTAACCCACTATGTAGCCAAGGATGGCCTTTATTTAACCCACTATGTAGCCAGGGATGACCTTGAACTTCTGATTCACCTGCCTCTATTTCCCAAGAGATGGGACTACAGGTATGTGCCACCAGACCCTGTTTATGGGGTACTGGAGATGGAATTGAAGGCAAACACCTAATGCACTACACTCACAAACCAGCCCTCTCCTTTATAATAAGTCCATTCCTGGCTTTAGTGGTAAGGCTCTCCCACTTTAGCGATAAGGCTTCACTGTTTAGAAGCCTTACCTCCTAACCCTGTTACCATGGCTACTAAATGTCTACATAAATTCGAGAAGGAGCATTTAACTAGAGGAAAGCCCTATCTCTCCACAGAAAGTGTACTCCAGACAGTCAGCGAGATTCCCAGAATGCCCTGGGCTCTGCCCACCTGCTGGGTTTATATGCTCTCCTCCTCCAGACTGACTAGGCAGGGTCTGCTGTTGTGTGGGAGTCGAGAGCAATTCCTGGTCACGACAAGATGGCCATCTCCTCCAAGGGTCTGGCCCTCTCCTTACAAGGGGGGTACCCTGTCTGATCCCTCAGCCTCATTTGCCATTCCCTGAGCAGAATGTTGGTAGGTCTCAGGAACAGCAACAAGAGGAAGGCCCTCAATCCCAGCCATTAGTATATACAAGCAGCGCTGTCCAGTGGAACTTTCTGGACCTCAGCACCTAGACACCCCTGCTTGGTGGAATGTTTGCTGATGAGGGATATTGTGGTAGCTGTCAAGACCTGGAACTGTGATGTAACATTGTTGAGAGAGAGAGAGAGAGAGAGAGAGAGAGAGAGAGAGAGAGAGAGAGAGAGAAGAGGAGAGAACAAATCAGAAGACAACCTCGGATAATATTCCTCAGACAGCCACACCTTGTTTTTTGAGACAGAGTCTCTCACTGGTTGGAACTTGCCACACAGGCTAGACTGGCTGTCTGGTGAGCCCAGGTTTTGCTATTCTTCATCTCTGAAACATTGGGATTACATGTGTGTGCCACCATGCCCAGGCTTTTTTTTTTTTTCTTCCTTTTTCTAATACAAGGTTTTGAGGTCAGACTTGGGCCCCAACACTTCTCCTCTAAATGTACAAAGATAAACACCAGCTGTGCCCTTTGCTGCTTTTCTGGAAGCAGAGCTCTCCTCTCAGGCTCACAGGTCTCCCCCGGGGCAGAGGAGCCACAGTCTAGGCACTCTTGTGGTTCTCATCCTTGCTACCATCAGCCGCTGTGGCTGCCAGGCCCTCATGAGGCAATCTCACTGGGTCCCACAGTCCTGGCTTTAGGTGGTGCTGAATTCTGGGGGCTCCTAATTGTCTTTTGAGGGGAGTTAGGGATTAAGGCAGGGTCATTCTCTGCATGTGGTGATCTCAGCTGGGGGCCGACCTAGTGTTTTTCTGGATCACAGTTCAGTGCTCAGGGACATGTATCCTGTGACCTGTTGGGGTACTGACATGGCTGAGGAGACCAGGAGCTTCCCAGTCAGATGCATGCATGAGAGGGTGACAGAGTCCAGGCACCTTAGTCTCCTCAAGGGCCTGGACATAGTAGTGGAGCCTCTTCTGCAAATGAACGGGAGCTCTGTCAACCCAAGAGTTGTGCCCAATTATATGGGGGTCCCACAAGAGTACTCGAGTGCTCAGTGTATGCCCTGTGGATGCACCCTGCTACTCCCTGGTCTTTTTCTGTCAATGCCCAGGGACTGTGTGGCTATTGTTCACAGATTTTCACCTGCTCCTACTCCAAGAGGCTGAGCTTCTCTGCCCGTGATGACATGCAGTCCGCCAAGGAGGATGGTTCTCCTTGGGCAGAGGACTGGGATTCTGTCCATAGCCCTCCCTGTATCATGACCGGCCAGTGACTGAGCGCTGTCAAGGGCTAGAAGGAAGGTCCTCTCATCCAGGCCAGAGGGTTCAAGCCAACCACTCTCTGAGTCCTCCCTTAAAGCAAACTCTTAGCAGAAATGAGGCCGATGATAAGGCAGAGGATGGGTCAGGAGAGAGACACAGCTAATCCCTAAACTCACCTCTTCCCCAGAGCTCCCCCTGGTGGAAGCTCCACAGGGCAGGGAACGCCAACAGTGTGCAGAGCCTTGGCCCTGGAGGGGCCATCAGAAAGAAAAGAAGGCCCTTCTGCTACTCTCAGGGACTTTGTAACTTAAGGGGGAGCACTCCAGAGTTCAAAAGAGCACCCTAGACTCACCTGTCTGTAGCCCATACCCACCTCAGCAACCATAGCTTTCAGGCCCTGTAAAGCTATTGTGGGAGCCTCGCAGGGAATCTGTTTCCCCCAGAGGCTCTGGTTGGCCAGTGGGGGATCATTTAGAAAGTGCAGGACGGAGCTGAGACTGGAACCTGGGTCTCTCGGGTGGCTCCTGTCACCCATGCTAACTCGATTCTTGCTTCTGGAACGAATGGTGACCAGAGTGAGGAGGCACACAGAGTTTGAGGGAGGGAATACAGCCACATGGCAGCCATGCTCTCACGAAGGGCTGCAGGGAAGGAGCCTGCTTGAAGTGCTGGACACTAGCATGGTCCTTGCGTCGTGGGCCTTCCCTCTCGGCCTCTGGCCTCAGTTTCCTTGCAGGCCAAGAAGCTGTGAGTGCTGAGGCTCAACCAGGAGAGAGGCTCAGAGCATACCTGCCACTCAGGTGCCCTCCTCCGTGGTCTGCAGGTCAGCAGGAGCCCAAGGGGCCACATTCTGAAGGCCTGCATGGAGGGCACCTGACCAATTTCCAGCTGAAATCTTTGAGCTTTCTGGAGTCACTGAAGGTATGTCCTGCTCCATGATGCTAGGCCGGTGACAGCTGTACCCCCTTTAGGCTTCTTCTGTTTGGAGGTTAGCTGTGAGCAGCCTCTGCCCCAAGGCTGAGTAGAAGGTTCCAAAACACCCCTCTCCCTCAACCTGGATAGGGAAGCCCCAGATAGAAAGAGTAGTCGGTTGCTAAGAGGGTCAGGCCCTGCCCAGGCATGGGATTTACCAGGGTGATCCTTATAGTCTGTTGTTAGCTAGACACAGGTGACCCCTGGGGTGTGGCTTCTCATGACAGCTGGACCAGCAGAAGCAGGACCAGGCACTGGCCCTTCTGCGGCAGCGGGCAGAGCAGGAGGTATGGGAGACGCAGATGGCACTGGATGAACTTCTCTTCAAACACCAGCTGAAGGTCAGTGGGCTGCCCTTTCTGGGCTGCCCTTTAACTGGTGTGCTACCCCTGCCCAGTGTCCCTTCCATCCCACCCAGCCTGAGGTCCTTCTAAAGTGAGCGCTGCCCCGTGGATCCAGAGAGGCATCACCAGTCTAGAAGGGAGCACAGAGCTACATGAGCTGGGGGCCATGGACTTACTTGAAGAGAGATTGGATGCTTTGGCCACTTATGTGCTGGGTACATCCACACTGGGGTGCCCATGGCTGGTTCCAGAGCTGGGTCATGGAGAGGGGTCTTTTCCTTCCACTCACCCCAGTCTGTTAGGCACTGAGCAGTGTGGTCTCTGTTGGAGCCCAGAGCTTATGACCTGTGGTGTGTGTGATATACCAACCCCAGCATTATGTCTCTCTTGCCTGATTCTGGGATCCAGCCTGGCCTGGCTGGCTGTGAAACCTCCTCTCTCTCTGCAACATCAACTCTTGCCTCACAGCAGCGGATGGAGAAACCCTCAGCCCAGGAAAGGCCAGCAAAGGCCACAAAGCTGGAACAGCAGCAGATGTGTGGTGGCCTAGAGCCAAGCACACTCTCTCTCAACACAGTGACAACCAGATCCAGGTGAGGCCAAGGCGGGGACCAGATGCCACCTCACAGGGTAGAATTCAGGTTTCAGGCAATGACAGTAGCCTCTGGTGATTTTGTGACCCTTCAGATCACCACCCTCCCCACACGGAGACGACACCGGGTCCTCGAAGCATCCTGAGGAAGCAAGGGCAGTTTCTGCAGGTGAGCGTCCTGTGTGACGTGCTGGCAGCTAACGGGCAGAACAGTGGTAAGGACGGCATTGTAAAACCTCCCAGGTAATTTTAGCCTCAAGGAGCTAGTCACACCAGCCTACAGCTTCACCCCCAGCCTGACACAGCCACTTCCCTGGAAAGCTTGGCCCCTCTGTCCATTTCTGGTGGCCACAAAGCACATCTGTAGGCTTTTGTTGATCTCATGCTCAGGCTTTTGCTGGGATACGCCACATGTTCTGTTGGGTGAAACATCCTGCGATGCCAGTTAGAGCAGTTGGTGACAGATCGCTCACATCTACTGCATGCTTGTGGGCTGTTCCCTCATATCTACTGTTGGTGGGGTGGGGTGGGGGGCACACTACTTAAGTGTCAGATTGTGGCCTTGTCTAGTTCTCTGGGCAGTTCTATTAGTGCCATAGCACATGATCAACCTTCAGGATTCTGATGAGCTCTTGATGAACAGGGCACTTCAGTGTGCTTTGTCCTAAACTCCACTTCGTATGCAAGTTTTGGTTTTGGGGGGTTTTGAGGTGAGGGTTCTATGCTAGCATCTCACCTGGGGTCTCCTTGGCTGGCCTGGAACTCATCGGTAGATGAAGACTACCTTAACTTTCTGACCCTCCCCGCCTCTGCCTCCCAGGTGCTGGGGTTATAAATGTGCATCATTATGCCTGGTTATGCTGTGGCTTCATTCACACTAGGCATGCACATTACCACCTGAACCACAGCGCCTGCCCTCCAAAACATGCACTGACATCTGTAGACCATACCAGCTTTCCTGTGACTAGGGAAAAGGGCATCTCCCTCCCATACTCTTACTTTCTATTTGTGTCTTTGTATTTGAAGTGTGTTTCTTTTTTAATCCAGCCTCTGCCTTCTAATAGAGATGCTTATCCTATTTGCAGGGAGTGGGATTATCCTCAGAATTAGGTTTAAGTTGTTCACTTTGATATCCATTTTTCTTGTTCCTTCTATCTTTTATTTTCTTTTCCCTCCCACTTTATCCGTCTCCTTTTGTGTTAAATTTTGGTTTGATTTGTTGATACAGGGTTTCACTTGGTAACCAAGACTGGCCTGGAGCTATGTAGCCCAAGATGACCTCTAACTCATAACAGCCATTCTAATTCAGGCTCCCAGATGCTGAGGTTATATGTGTACACCCGTTTTATTTTATTTTATTTTTGTTTTGTTTTTTAAGGTTAGTGTGTGTGTGTGTGTGTGTGTGTGTGTGTGTGTGTGTGTGTGTGTGTGTGTGTGTTGCAGAGCCAGGGTCAAACCCCAGGCTTCCTGCATCCTTGACTGGCACTGAGCTATAGCCCCATTCTTAGGAAGCACAGTCCCACACCCCTAGTGTCGTCTTGCTTACTTTGCTCCGTGTGCACAGAACCCACCCCCAGGTCCCTTTGTTGCTTTGTGAGTTCTGTGTGTTCGCTCTGTCTGCTTTTCTGTTTTTCATGCAATTTTGTAATGAGAGTCTCTGGTTTCCTTCATGTTCATGTGCTGGGGGTTTGTTAAGATTTGGTGATCTGTGGGTTTATCACTTCAGATTTGGAAAACTTTCAGGTCTTCTTTTTGCAAATACCTTTTCTTCTTCCTCTCTTTTTCTGCAGGAATTTCGATTACCTGCATGGTAGGACACTTGATGCTGTGCATTCTTTCCTCAGCAAAGTGTAATCTGCCACTAATCAATGTGGTTTTTCATTTGAGTGTTTTAAAGGTTCACTTTGAAAATTCTATTCAGATCTTTTCTTCCGTCCTCCATAATTGTAATTACCCCTTATTTATTTGTTATTTTATGTGTATGGGTGTTTTGCTTACATATATGTTGTGTACCACTTACGTACATTACCTGGTATCTACAGAGGCCAAAAGAAGGCATCAGATCTCCTGGAACTGGACTTACAGACTGTTATGAGCTGCCATGTAGGTTCTGGGAATCTAACCCAAGTCTTCTAGAAGAGCAGCCAGTGCTCTTAACCACTGAGCCATCCCTCCAGTAAAGAGAACTTACCCTTTTAAACATATGAATACAATTCTGAAAACTTATTTTATATTTAAATTATTTTATATGTGTTTACTTAGGGGGGGCTGTATAACAGGGCCTGCATGTGGGAGGCAGATGACAACAGGAATTGGGTCCCCCTTTCCACCACATGGGTCCTGGGGATTGAACTCAGATCCTCAGCTGGGTGCTAACTTCTTTGATGACTTTAGTTGATGACTCCCTGCTGCTCTGCTTCCTGCTGGCTGTTGTGGATTCATTTCACCTTGGTGTAAGATACTCTTGTTTCTACACATGATGGTTAAAAAAGTAGTATTTTATTAATTCTTTGAAAATTTCAAGCTGTATTTTTGATCATATTCAAACCTGCTAAATCACTGAGATCCACCCCCCACCCTAACCACCCAGCTCACTCTCACATTCTCCATCCCCCCACAACACACACACACACACACACACACACACACACACACACACACACACACACACACGAGTCTACTTTGTGCCCTCCCGGGTGTGGAGCCTTCCCTGGAGCTTGTGAACCTACCATGGTCACACCTTTAAAGAAAACCAATTCTTCCTTTCCCAGCAGCTGTCAAATGCCCACGGCAGCTCCGCTAGTGATTAGACTCCCTGCCCACCTCCCCCACCTTCACGCTAGAATTCTGTCTGGCTTGGGCTTGCACAGATCTTGTGCATGCCGCATCAACTGCGTGGGTTCATTTGTGCAACTGCCTTGCTGTATCCAGGAAACGCTGACCCCTTGTAGTGATCTACCCCTGGCTCTCAGAATCATTCTGCTCCTCTTTCACAATATCTCTGAGCCTGGAGGGGAGGATGTGATATTGCCATTCCACTTAGAGCTAAGCACTCTATAGTCTCTATATACACATTCTTTTTTAATGGTTTTTTTCAAGACAAGGTTTCTCTGTGTAGTTTTGGTGCCTGTCCTGGATCTCGCTCTGTAGACCAGGCTGGCCTTGAACTCACAGAGATCCGCCTGGCTCTGCCTCCCGAGTGCTGGGATTCAAGGTGTGCACCACCGCCGCCAGCTAGATACACATTCTTAAGCTTTGACCTCAGATGTAGTTACTGGACTTAATCTGATCCTTTTGGGTCTTGTTTCTGTAACTGGCCAGTTGGATCCAGATCACTACTAAGACTGGGGCTGATGAAACCTCCCAAACCAGGCAGGATGGTGTGTCCGTGTGCTGCCCAGTGATCCATGGGTCACAAGGTACAAAGCCCTCAGCCTCCTTCTGGATGCTTTTTAACCTGTACTGATCCAGTCTCTTCTCACTTGACAACCAGAGATGTTGAGTATTAGAAGCATAGAATCATGGGGTTCTCCTCTTTGTGGTTTCCTCTCTAATATACCATTCCATCAACCCTAGCTGTCTGTCTCCCCAGACTCAGTTCTGTCTCCTCTCCTGGGGATCTGCCTACCTCGGTTTGTTCTCTCTCTGCTGGAGCCTACCTCTCTTGGGAGCTTGTCGTTGGTCTTACCTCCTTTGTTTCTGTCGGTGAGCACTGTGCAGGGCTGTTGGTATCAAGTGTCTCAAAAATGCTCTTTCCTGTGTGTGAGAATGTATGTAAATATGTCTGTATAAAACACGCATTTTCAGATGTGATGGTGAGTCTAGTTCCTTCTGTCCTTTCTTGGTACGATGTCAAAAATATCCTTTAATTATTTTTAAGTAAAAAGCCTTTGGGGGCCAGACGTGGTGGTGTATGCCTTTAATCCCAGCACTCTGGAGGCAGATCTTTTTGAGTTCAAGGCCAGCCTTGAACAAATCGAGTTCCAGGACAGCCAGGGCTGTTATACAGAGAAATCCTGTCTTGGGGAGAAAAAAAAAAACCTCCTCTATGAAACCCACCACATCAGAGTGGTGGACAGGGGTCAGCAGCAAGGGAGCTGGGCTGGCAGGGAGTCTGGGCTCTGCTGTGTCCCTGTCCTGGCGTGGTGCCAGGCTTGGGACATCCTTCCCCCTCGGGCCTCAGTGTCTCCTTCTTCGAGAGCAAGGGCTGTTGTTCTGAGTACCTTGTGTTTGGCCTGGTTCTGTGTGCAGCTGTGGGTCCCATTTCAGAGCCTCTGTTTAGGGACCAAGAGTTCCAGCATTGCCTTGAGATCTGGTGTGAAGCTGTACGTCAGAGGTCAAGTGTGAACCTTTCACACCTCAGACATACTTCATTTGTGAGGCCCTCCTGCAGGAAAGGCCCTAAGCACATGTCACTGGTTCCCTCAGGACTCAACCTCGGCCTGCTTTCTCTCTCGGAGTTGGAGCCCGCGCAGCAGGACCCAGCCCCCTCCCAGCGGGCTCTAGCCAAGCTCTGCCTTTCAGATAGACCCACCTACAAGGTATAAAGAGTGGGGCACAGTTTTAAGGCTACATGATACTGGTGGTGGGTAGTGGGTCCCCACTGGCCCTGGTCTTGGGAGGGTCACCCTGTCATCCCATTGTCCATCTTTGCAGCTGCTCCTCCCACCCTGGTTGATAGCTGAGGGCCAGCATGACAACAGGGTGCTTTGGGCGGGGCTGTGCACAGCCCAGCCTGCCTTGCCAAAACTCTGCAGAGGATTAACAAGTGTCCTGCCTAGCTTGGGGTGGGTGTGAGTCCAGGATGATGAGGACCCTGCCTCCCCTCTGGGAGCCTACAGCCAGGAAGGGGTGCTTTGTCAAGAAGGGCACACCAGGAGGGAGATAAACTGGTGGGCGTTTAGGGAGGACGTCTCGGAGTCTGTGGCATCTTCCCGAGAGCTGGGACTGCGCCCAGCCCCTGAGAGGATCCAGTCGTGACAAGGCAAGGTTGCTCTTCCTCTCTGCAGTGGAGCACCGGGAGACCAGAGCCAGGGACAGAAAAGTCCAGAACCTTCCACCGCTTCACTATTGCAATGCTGGAGCAGAGTCTGAGAGATGAAGAGCTGCGTGCGCAGCACCAGGCTGCGGTGCTGCGACTGCGCGAGCTGGTGCTGGAGGAAAAAGCCCGTGCGGAGCTGACCTGCCTGGAGCATCAGATAGGGTGAGCTCGTGTTTGTGGCTGGCCCTGCTCCACCCCCGTCGGCGTACCCCCACCCCACCCACCCACCCCCCACACCTGGACACAGATGGAGAGAGATGGCTGCAGTGACCTGGGCAGCGATAGGTAAGATAGTCGAGGTCCCAAACAAAACTAAAGCAGGAAAACAGCCATTGACCCTGTCTCTGGGATGTCTGCAGTGCTTCCCGTGTGTCCCATAAGCTGGGGGCTTATGCTTCACATGCTGCTGCATGCAGGGAAGCCTCACATCACCACATAACCACCAACAGGTGGGCAGTGCAGATCATCAGCATTCTCTCGGCCTGTCCCCAATTACAGGCCTTTAGTGTGTGTCCAACGTTTTGCTATGACGAACACTGAGAAGTTGTTTCCTTAGAGTGATTTCTTAGACATAGGACTTCCATATAAGTGAGACCCATCCAGAAAACTCTAGGCCTTGCTGCGGCTGGCCTCCAAGGGTTCCTCTATTCACAGCCCGATACCACCCTGGCCATGACATGCTGGGGGTGGATTAGTCCTTGGTGCCAGTGGAGAACCCCTTGCCTGGATGTGGTCTGCAGGTGGGAGACTCTGTCCTCTCAGGCCTTCATGCCCTAGGCCATGAGACAATCATAAACATGGTGGGAGAGAAGAGTGACAGCCCAGGCTGAGGCCCCTGGGGCCCCCAGACTCTGCTCTGTGAGGGGATGTCTAGGTGTACCCAGCTGCGGGAGCCGTCCCTTTGTGGATCTCCCCCTCTCTCTGAACAGACTCTCAAGACTGCCGGTGGCTTTTCCCCTTCCCTAGGTGTCTGGGGATTGTAGGGCGTGAGGCATCACAGACCACTCTGCGGGAAAAGCAGCGACAAGCTCTCAGCAGGCTTGAGAAGGAGCGGGTAGGCATGGGCAAGGGGTGGTCACCCTGCAGCCCTCCCACTGCGGGGACCAGAATGCCCCTAATGCCCCAGAACATCCTTGAGCTCTCGCCACCCTCCAGTGATGCTCAGAACCGTGTGGTACCTGGAAGAGCCTGTGGTCCAAGGACTAGAAATCTAGGACGGCACATGGCCCTACATCCCTGGTTCTAAACCAGGCTTAGCCTGCTGCTAACTGTGGCCTGCAACAAGTAGCCTAGCCTCTGGGGGCTCAAGTCCCCGCTGAACAGCAGTGTGTGTTTCCTAGGTCTGGGGAGGCTTTTATAATAAAGGGGTGTTACAGAGGCAGGGCAGTGGAAGTCATTTGGTGCGTAAGTACCCCAACTTCCCTCCTGCCTCCAGCTGGTGCCTCCTGACCAAACTCAGAGCAGAGCGGTAGCTAAGAGGCTGAGCAGGGTGGGTCAGGCAAGAGGCCTGAGGAGGGGAGAGGAGGGAGGGAAGAGGAGGGAGGGGAGGGGAGGGCCAGGCAGCATGAGAGGCAGAGGCCCCTGGATGTCCCCTCCCTGCTCCGGTGTCCTAACTGGAATTTTCTCCTTTGGAACGTCAGAGGGAAATCCAGTACCTGAAGAAGGTGTACTTGTCCCTGCACCACGGCAGGAAGCAGCTCCTGCAGCATCAGCAGTCCATCCTCGATGTGCAGAGGTCCGTGGCCCACTTGCGGCAGGAGCTCCAGGCTCGAACCAAGCTGCTGCAGGTGGGCATGCCCAGCATCTTCATCCCGCCCCTTTGTGTCACACCTGCCACTCTTGGTGGAAAGGGCCTGGGACTGGGTAGACTGTGCTGGGGGAGAAGATGACCGGCCGGGGCCCCTGCAGAGGCACTCTGGGGGAAGAGCTAGACTTCCAAGCTATGGCAGTTATTACAGACCCAGGGTGGAAGAAAGGCCCTGTGGGAGGTGGAGAATCTAGCAGGAGGGAGAGAGGGATGGATGGAGGGAGGGAGAGAGGGATGGATGGATGGATGGATGGATGGATGGATGGAGAGTCTAGCTGGAGGAGGCCCAGGATACCACTCAGATGGGCCAGCAGTTGAGTAGCAGTGGGGACCTCTGTGTCCCTAACAGGCCTGGGGTGCACCGGAGAGGCCAGCCACTCAGACAGAACACCTGATAGCTGTCTGTGGAGCTGAGAGGGCGGATGGGTGAGGGCAAGGGAACCCTAGGCACTCGGCGCTCCCCATAACTCTGTAAGCAGAAGGACAGTGGCTCACCTTGAGGGTAGAGACAAAGATGGGTGAACTTCTCTCTGAAGCACCTGCCATAGGCCAACCTTCAGGAGAGGGGACTCTGGACTGCCTGACGCTAGAGTTCTCCATGCCTCTGGGCAACTTAGGGCAGAAGTTTGTCAGTAGGGGTATAGGCCTGATAAGGGACAGGACAGCTTGTTCCAGCTGGTGTCCACTCCTGTGGGAATGTGCCATCTGCAGTGCTGAGGGCGTCCTACGGTGGCCACTGCCATGTGCACCCGCCTCCTGCTTTTCCGAAAAGGGACTGACTGGCTGAATGTGGTCACACCAGGCTTGCCCTGTGGTATTTCTCCTAGAGTTCCAGCCCCAGCATCAAGGTCGCCTGGGAGGGGGTCTGCGACACAAGTCAGAAGACAGAGGGACATAGACCTGGAAGCCCCCAAAGCCACCACCCCGAGGAAATCTCTGAGAGCTCAGAAGTGGCAAAGTGAGTGGGTCAGGGTTGGAGTGAGGGGAGCTGGCCCTGGCACCTGCCACAATAAGCCTTGCGTGTATTTGCTTTCTGCTGTATGGTCCCATTCCACTCAGCTGCTCCAGGAGGATGGGAGGGTAGAAGGGCATGGGAGGACCAGATGTGCCTGAGCTCCAGGGGGATGGGAGGGTAGAAGGGCATGGGAGGACCAGACGTACCTGAGCTCCAGGGAAGAGCAAACAGCAGCCACAGGTACTGGCTCTGTGGTTGACAGGGACATGGGCACATGGAACTTCCTAAAGCACTTCTGTGAGGTGTGGAGTAACAGAGCACACAAACAGCCTGGCTTAGGGCAGCAGAAGGTGTGTATGTGACCACTCCAGCCTCTAGGACTATAGGGGTTGTTCTATGGCCAGCAGCAGCTGGACTCTGAGGCCTGGCCACCAAGGCCATTTGCAGCAAAAGGGGGTGAGGTCCCTGCCTGCGCTTGGAGGGGCATGAAGAGTGTCCCTTGACCACAGGCTGGTGGAAGGAACAGCAGGGCTTCTCCCATTAAGACCTTCCTGGCTTCCCCAGGCTGGAAACTGTAGCAGGCTTTCTTGAACCACCAGCCCACAAATCATGACACGGAGACTTATTATCAATGAGTGCTTGGCCTTATCTTATGCTTCTCCCACTAACTCTTAGAACATTATTTAACCTGTTTCCCTTCATCTACGTTTTTGCCTCAGGGCTTTTACCTTTCTTTCATTCATTCTGTACGTCCCACTTTTGCTGTTTTTTCTGTGGCTGGCTGGCAGCTGCCTGGCTGCCTGGCCGGCCCCAGGTGTCTCCCTTTTTTTCTCTCATTCTCTTCCCTCTCTGTTCTCTCTGCCCTCCAGCCCTGCCTATCCCTCTGCTGCCTAGCTATTGGCCGTTCAGCTTTTTATAGACCAATCAGGTGCTGTAGGCAGGCAAAGCAACACATCTTGACATGGTTAAACAAATGTAGCATAAACCAATGTAACACACCTTACATAGTTAAAATGACATTCCACAGAAGTAAACACTGTTCCACCCTGCCAAGCAGCACTGTAGGGGTGGGGTGATCTGGAGGGGGTTCTCATCTTGGCAGTCCCCTCTTCCTCAGGTACCCACCGCCAGCCCTGGGGAGGCTATCACCACCCAGGCCCTAGCCATTAGTTCCAGGGCTTCCCCCGCTCCGCCTTGAGGGTGGGGGTGGGGATTGAATAAGCTCACCTGTATGAATCAAGTGCTTCAGGCTGGCCTGCAAGAGGGGAGGTTTTCTAGAGCTTTCTCTGGTACCTCTCACCAGCCTTGGCAAGAACAGTCCCTCTGTGCCCTCCTCTCTGCTCCTGTCAGCAGGATGCAGGCCGGGCCGGGATAGCATGCCTATTCCTGGCCATGAACTTGGTCTACAGCACTTGATGTTGGTGAAAGTGCTGGGACTCAGAAGCCACCCTCAGGCAGAACCCTTCCTTTTGAACCTCTAGAGTTTCCCCAGGGTACCAAGAGCCAGGCCGGCTGGTTCACATGGGGGGCCCAGGCAACAAGGAGAAGGATCAGAGGCTCCTAGGCTCCATAGCCTCTCCTCCATTGGAGGCACAGGCCCTGCTTGGGAAGCTGCCGAGTGAACAGGGACCAGGACCCTGTCTTCTGCTTGGCCGCTGGCCAGAGCTGGCCCTGGATGTGGCTCAAGGTGGTTCTAGAGACAAGGGCTTGCTGAGTGTTTCGGTCAGGGATGGGCACCCTGGGTGGAACAGTGGGATGTGTACTCACATCTGTTCTACTGTGTGTTGCCCTGCAGCCTCCCTGAGCAGAAGGAAGGGACACCTCCCCAGACGACTCCAGTTGCAGATGAGCACCTGCAGCCTCGGAGGCTGCTGCAGCCTCGGAGGCTGAAGTGGGCAGATGTGACTCCTGGGACTGGAAGCCCACCTGTGGAGAGTGGGCATGACAACCAAGGTAGTTCAGGGCAGTGGCAGTGCCCAGCCCAGAACAGACAGTCGCTCAATCGGTCGGCCCCAGCCTTCTGTGGTGGCAGCATTAAGCTTGGGCTGAGACAGTCCGGCATACCAGGCCACCAGGCCAGTGTGTGACCTGGATTACCCAGGCCTCCGTGGGCACATCTGAGTTGCAGCAGAGTGCCCATTGGGCTGGCCCACAGGGGGGGCCTGCCCCTCGAAATACTCGGAGACACAGAACATGGGGTGCCACAGGGAGCTGCCCCGACAGCCTCTCCTGCTGTAGAGGGCTCCTGGCAGGTGCAGCTGCTCAGAGCTGATGTGGCCTGCCAGTCAGTGCAAGCCTGGGGCTGCCCATAGGCAGGTCAGAACACAAACCTGTCAAAGCAGCAAGACCTGGCCATGTCCCCCTGCTGCCAGGCAGGGATCAGGACTGAGCATGCCCTTCCCTGGCATAAAGGAGTTCGTTCTCCTGGTTCAGGGCAGAACCTCCAGGCAGAAACCTTAGCAGAAAGCAGTCTAACATGATTCCTGGCTGTCCCCATCTCACCATGGCCCAGCAGGTTTGCTCTCTGTCCCACTAGGAAGAATCCAGGAAAATGGGGGGGGGGCTGCCTCCAGCACACTCTGCCCCCATCAGCCCATGAGCTGCTGGTGTGACCGCTCGGCCTGTGCCTCATTCTGCCTCCATCCCTGTTGAAGGAAGGGATGTCCCCTCTCCCTGACCTTAGTCTTGCTCTATGATGAGATCAATGTCATTTTCGTTTCTGGAGGCTGCCACAATAGAATTCTGCAAAGTAGATGCTCAAACAAATGTATGCCCCACCCCCATTCTGGAGACCAGAAGTGGGAAATCTGTGTTCTCTTCAAAGGCTCCAGGGCAAGGCTCCTCTAGCTTCTTTTGGCTCCAGATGTCCCTAAATCTAAGGCTGTCTCCAGTCTCTGCCTCTCGGTGCCTGCCTCTTTTCTCCTGTGTCCACTTCCTCTCCCATCTCTTTTAGAGTTAGGACCTGCCCAACTCTAAGATGAGCTTGTCTGGAGATTCATAATTATATCTGCAATGGCCCTCTTACAAATACGGTCTTATTCCCAGGTTTGCAGGTTATGCATTGAGCATACTATCTTTAGACCCCAGAGTACCTAGGCACACAGTGTGGGGGACACAGGGTGGAGTTGGCCCCCTCGGACACTTGCATCTATGGTCAGCGATGCTGAAGAGGTTTGGGCATGGGGGCAGAGGACCCTTCAGCATTATGACCAGAACATGAGGCAGGTGTGGAGGGGAGAGTGTTAGAGCCGCAGTGGGGGCCCTAGGCTATGTGGAACTCTGGTCCTTAGAGATGGGGGAAGCAGTAGAAATCCTCACCTAACCTCCAAAGCAGCAAGCTGTGTGATGCGTCTTACGTCTGGGGTTCTACAGAGGCTGGACAGTGTGAGTGACCCCAGGAATTGTGTCTTTCAGGACCTGGAAAACAGCCTCACGTCTCTCCCCCTGGTCTGCTGCACTTGAGTTCTCTGGACCCTGAACATCAGAAACACCCAGTCTTTCCTGTATGCAGCCCTAAGGGAGCCCCTCTCCCCAGCCCTGCTGGCTTGGAAAACCTCCCCTACCATTCTGCCAGCCTGCCGCTTGATCTTGGTTGGGACTCCTGGGTGCCCATGTGCTAGCACCCTTGGTACTGGTGGCTCCTGGCCATCTTAGTCCTTGGAGTTCTGTCCCCAGGTGGCTCCCAGACTCTCTGATATATCTTTCCTTCTGTCTTGTTGATGCAGATCTTCAAGAAAGATGGCAGCCTAGCCTCTCAGCTGAAGCCACAGGAGGCCAAGGAACCGCCTCCTCCAGGTAATGCCCCGGAAACAGTCTGTGGGCCATCCCTGTGTGGATCTTTCCAGGAGCTTTCCCCACATCCGGTGGACCCTGTCCAAGGCTGGTATCCAGCGGTCAAGCAAGGACAGGGAGGTCCCCAGAGAAAAGTCGAAGAGGACGGATGCACGTGACCCCCTGCTGTGACCACGGACCCTTCATGGTAGAAGACTGGCCGACTCCATTGCCTGTGGGAGATGATTCGGCTGCTTCCTCTGGGGGCATTAAAGACAATACTTGGTCTGGTTGTTTTAGCTGTAGCTTTGTTTATCTAGACATTTCCAAGAGCTTAGAAACCAGCACAGTCAGAAGCATCTTATTAACAGACACCACAGATTTACATAAATCAAATTCCCAACTTTCTGAACGATGCACTTGGCCCTGAGGCCTCCCTGAGGGCAGAACTGATCTTGGGGGTGGGGTAGGAGAGTCCAGTTCTCTCTCTGGGGGTTGCCCTGGGGCTGACATTGAGGGATTGGCCTGGCTGGCCTGGCTGGCTCACAGTGAGTAGATGCCACCTCTGAGTTCCCCACTCCTGGGTCACAGCCCTGGGTTCCGAAGCTCCATCCCTCCACCCCCTACTCAGCCTCTACCCTCAGAAGCAAGAGGGATGCCAAATCTTGTCAGACTGTGCGGGATCAAGGCACTCTTCTCATTTGGGGCCAGAGAGAGTGCATTCCAAGTCAGTTAGGCTAAGAAGCAGCAAGGCCTTCCCAGTGCATTAAGATTATCCAGGAGAGTTAGGACAGGTGGGGTTCCCGGGGTCAAAGGTGATGGTGGGCAGGGGGCATGCAGAGCCCATTTCCATGGCTTTCCCGTCTGCTGGAGTCACGCCTCTGTTGGCTCTTGTTAGGGCTCTATGGACATTGTTAGGCCTGATGCCCCTCACCGTTCATGTTGCTCTCTTCTGCCCTGTGACCGTGTGTGTGTGTGTGTGTGTGTGTGTGTGTGTGTGTGTGTGTGTGTGTACTAGCTGTCATGTGTGGACTTCAGTGTGTACTGAAGTCAGCCAGTGCTTAGACCACACTCAGGGACCCTGTTGTCACTTGAGGTGAGTATGCTCGTTACCCACCCTGCAGGCGAAGAGCCTGGGGCCTGAGAACTAAAGTACCTAGACCGTGATGGTGGAGCTTGTTAGTGATGGTCCAGGATGCACCTGTCTGATCCAGGGCTAGCCACTCCCTAGTCAGAAGATGGTTCCTGCAAGGTTCTTGGGAACACCCTGGCGTGACCATTAGAGAAGTCCAGGGTCCTTCCTGCAATGACCCTGCCACCTCGGCCTTCATCCCAGGCTCTGGATGAGAGCTTAGGGCACCATAGCTCTGGTCCCATAGGCCAGTGGGCCTCAGGAGCCCAACAGTCTACCAGGGTCCAGGCAGGACTCAGATCTAGGTATACTCTGGCTCTGCTGGGCACTGCTTTGGGCCACTTGTCTGGCCTTTTAGCTTGCCATGAAAGACCATGCCATGTCCAAGGCCTACCCTTACCTGAGTGCCCACGCCCCTCACAGTACTAGAGGGCCTCAGCATAGTGCTGAGACAAGGAAGGGAACAGCTCTGGCAAGGGTTCCCCGCCACTTGTGGGAGGTCCCCAAAGGAGGGAAGGAGGGCTGTAAGGTTTTGTTTTCTGAGACAAGGCTGTAAACCAGGTTGGCCTGGGACTCCTAGAGATCAGCCTGCCTTTGCCTCCCAAGTGCTTGTGTTCAAGTGTGTGCCACCCACCTGACAATAGGGATGCAAATTTAAAATGGTTTTTCCATGTGCTTTCCCCCCAGGACTTCACATCACTCATTATCCAACAGGATGATTTGGGAAACACAATCACATCTTTTAGGTGCTCACACACACACATCAAATGCCACAGTCAAGTCTTGCATCCGTTTTGAATTTTCAGATATTTTTCCTGGGAGCCACTGCTTTGCCTTTCTGCATCTATGCATGCCAGCGTTCACAGTCTGCTTGTCCCACAGGCGACCTACAGACCAAGCCCGGTGCAGCTTGGGCAGTGGAGAGACAGCCTGCAGACAGCCATGCTTGGAGCTTGCATGGCGAGTGTGGGCAGTCCCTAAGTGGAGATGGTCCTGGTCCTGAGGAAGCCAGAGTGAGTCAGGGTGTGGCCATGTGCCGTCTGCAGGCTATGGCTTGCTATGTGGCCTCAAGGGGCTGCCTTGTACATCACAGGAGGCTGTCCCAGGATGAGGGCTCAGGGCGCGTTCCAGGCAGTTCATACGGTTCTGCAAGTTGCGGGTTCTATGGCTCTCACCTCACACTCAACGCTTGGGCAGAAAGAAAGTCTTCCCAGGGAGAAAGGAGATGTGATGATTGGGATCTTTGGGGCCCTCTTCAAGGGTCCCTTTAGTCTCAGGAAGCACAGCCTTTGATCCCCAGTGGAGGAGGTGGGAGAGGGCCTAATGGATATCTTACTTTTCTAATGTGTTTCCTGCAGGTGGCTGAAAACAGAACAAATCAAGGGCTAGGTGTTTCCAGAAGCCCCAAGGGCGGACACCAGGGAGAGACACATTGGCAGCCAGAGCAGCAAAGGTGTGGAGCATGGGTAGGGTAAGGCACTGAGGCATGGAGACAGGTCTTAGCATCTGGGACCTCTCAATGCCTAGACTCCTCCCCACCCCTCCTGGACTGTGCCCAGCTGCATACCACTGGCTCTGATTCCTTCTTGGTATCAAAGTTGTTGCCCAATGAAGGGCCAAGTTGGAGCTGGGGGACACAGGTGTCTGGAAGTGTCCCCACCTGCCACCTGATCAAGGTGACTTGTGGTCAGATGTCGCCCCCATCCCCCACCCCCCATCCCAGGTAACCCTGTGTGGCAATGGTGGTTTCAATGGTGGGTGATTGGCAGGGCTGTTCATAAGAGTGTGTCATGGGGGTCAATGACTGTGAGCCCTGGGGCAAGGGCAACTGGAAGCAAGACTCCTTCCCCAGCTCACCATGTGCTTGCAGGAGAGAAGCCTGTCAACAGGAGAACCCGGACATCCCCTCCACCCACCTGGACACTGACCAGAAGGCTGTTTCCCCAGGTGAGGTTCCCATCCCTTTAGGACCCCTACCGCCACCCCAGGGCTATTCAAAGACCATTAAGTCTTCACTTAGAGGCTATCCAAAACCAGGTCTTAGATCAAAGTGAGGCTTTTGTGAAGGCGTATTGCCCTGTCCTCCATACTGCCTGGCTGGGATGGGGGAACCCTGCTGACCCTTTCCCCTAGGGCTGCAGGCTGAGTCTAAAACTTCAAAACAAGCCAAACAGAGCCAACCACCACCTCTAACAACAGCTGAGGTGGTATAGGCTGAGTCCAGACACTCAGGGACAGCCACGTGTGACCCACAAGTAGGGAAGGGACTGGAACAGTTACCTAGGGGTTGTAACTGGTACCAGTGCCCTTTTTAGTGTCTTCTGTTAGAACATCTTTTCAGTTTGGGACTGCTTCTGGTATAGTCTACCATGTAGCGTGTGGCGACTGTGAGACACTCCCTAATTCAATCCATCTCAGCAGCTCCTGTGGCCAGTGAGGAGGAGGCACAGCCGGCCTGGCACCCCGACAGCCCTCCGTCCCAGCCTGCTGCCATCTTGGATGTGTGTTCTGAGTCTGTTTCTAGTAGCTTCTCAGGGTCTTCAGAAGCCCCTGCCGTATCCCTCACCCCTTCAGCAGGCTCATCAAGCAGCCTTTCCTGTTCATCTCTCCAGGAGTTTCAGAAGGCCACAGCCACCCTAGTCCAACTTTCTAACAGTTCCACATCCCTGTCTAACTTGGAGGCTGAAGATACTCTGCCTGCAGATCCCCGTTGGTCTAGGGAGCTTTCTGCTCATGATTCCTGGGAGAAACCTGGCCTGCCTCCATTCTGGGACCTCCACCAGGGACTTCCGCCGCTGGAGGGGCCTCCTGAGGATGTAGGTCAAGTGACCCTGCAGAGACTGGAAGGCAGTGAGGCCAGACTCCTGAGTGGCTTCTCTGAGGAGGCAGCTGTGGCGGGAGGCTCAGAGCCAGGGTACAACTTCACTCAGGCAGGCTGGCCATTGTCGTTCCCACATGCCCCTTCCCCAAGATTGGGGTCCGAGTTGTCCGAGTCCTCCAGCCAAATCTGGGATGAGAACCTTGAGGAGCCCAGCCCTTGTGCTGAGCCACCCTCAGGATGCTCCTTGCCTGCAAATGATTCTTTGGACCTGGAAGGCAGTGGAGGACTCCATGCCACTCTTCCCTCCCCGGGGCCTGGGGAAGAACAAGAAGCTTCCAGAACCAGTAGGAGCCTGACTGGTGCATCAAATACAGGGGAAACCAGGCAGATGTCCCCGGTGGCCACTTTCACAGTGTTCCCACCCCAGATCCCTTCTATCAGTGACTCGACTCTGCCACTGTCCTTTCCTCTGGACACTTCCACCTCTGGAAGGGCAGGTCTCAGCAAAGCAAAGATGCCTACTGAGGCCTCAGCTGGCTACCAGGGGGAACCCCATGATGCTGATACTAATCCATCCATACAGAGGAAGTCCCTACAGGCCTTGCCTGATCCTAAGGCTGCCATGACCCTGAAGGCTCCTTCTGAGGACAGCGCTCCCCTTGTCACAGAGGTAGCCAGTCCGTCATATGTAGATGGAGTCCTGACTGAAATACTGTCTCCTGTGGATGAGGAACTATCTTATGGCAGTGGGGACCTTCCATCCTCCATCCACAGGGACACTCGCCTCCCTCCACCACCTCCTTCTCCCCAAGCAAAGAGTGACATCAATGAGCCCAACCCCAGCTCAGAAGACTTCCCTTCCCCACCTGAGGAGGCCATGTTTCCAGGTGACTCACTGGACACCCTAGGGGAGGATACATCCATTACTGTTGAAGACATGTCCTCCTTATCTGAGGAGGCTCTGGAGGAAGCCCTTTCCCTGGGGCCCCAGAAGTCAGGGCACTGCCTAGGAGCATCTGGGCAAGATGGAAGCCTGAATGACTCAAGTTCAACATCTCCCTTGAGTAATTGGGTAGTCAGTGCCCCTGAGACATCCCCAAGACTGCCAGCTCAGCCCCTGAGTCCATCCCCAGTGGCTTGTGTGACCAGAAAGAATCTTGAGGAGGCCTCAGGCAGTCAAGGTGGACCTTGGGAAGCAGCACCGTGCTTCAAGAGTGCAGAGCACCAGCTAGTTACAGAACACCTTTTAGACAGAAGAGCAGCCATATCCTCACCCTCCTGGTCTGCACCCTCTGAAAGCCCATCCCCGGGCCCAGTGCCCTCAGTGGCCAGTGGCCAGGCTGAATCCTCCAAGCACACTAGTAAGAAGGAGAGGGAAGGCCAGAGCTGCTGGACAGAGGGCCAGCCCAAGCTCCAGGATTTGTTGGACAGACAGGAGCTCTGTAGGAGAGACTCGGCTTTTGACCCTGCCTCTGGTACCTGTGTGGATCTTCCAGGGACAGGAGATGCTGGGCCAGTGGATGTGGTGTCCACCCAACTCAGCAGGAGGATCTTGTGTGACTCTCTGGCTGCACTGTCAGGGTTGGCCCCTGGAGACAACCCCTAGGGGTGTGCTCCGAAATGATAGGAACGCATAGACATCTGACATGTGACTCTGTGTGTGTGTTATCTGTGTGTCTGTCTGTTTGTGCCTGTGTGTGTGTGTGTGTCTGTCTGTCTGTATACACAAGAACCTGATTTGAGGGACCTGGTCTTCCCATTGTCATACAGAATGTTCACACTGCACCAGGCTGGCAGGATAGTTATCTGAAACAATCAATAGTCATGAGATTCTCTCATGCCCAGAGTATCCCAGCTTCTATCAGGCTCTCAAAGGGTCCAAACCTCAGTGATTGAGGCATGCACAGCCAAGGCTATGTAGGATGGTGTCCAGTGGCTGCCCAAGGAAAGCGCAGGAGGTCAGAGGCTCCAGCTAGAACGAGGTAGTGTGGGAGTCAGTGATGCCAAGGGGGAAAAGTAGTGTTGGAGGCCACCAAGCGGAGAAGTGATCAGAGTACATGGAGGATCTGTCCTGGGCTTTGTCTCAGCCTGTAAATACCCAATGTTCACCTACCTTTAACGTGTGTGTGCGCGCGCATGTGTGCAAGTGCACTTGGATTCCCAGAAGAGGGTGTCACAGCTGGAGTTAAGGTGGTTGAGAGCCATCTGATATGGGTGCTGGGAATTGAACTTAGGTCCTCTGGAAGAGCAGGAAACACTCTTTTTTTAAAAAATATTTATTATGTATCGAGTGTTCTGCCTGCATGTATCCCTGCAGACCAGAAGAGGGCACCAGATCTCATTACAGATGATTGTGAGCCACCATGTGGTTGCTGGGAATTGAACTCAGGACCTTTGGAAGAGTTGCCAGTGCTCTTAACTGCTGAGCCATCTCTCCAGCCCCAGGAAACAGTCTTAATCACTAAGCCATCTCTCCAGGTCTTGACTTTAAAAAACATTGTGTGTGTGTGCATGTGTGCATGCCATGGTCCCTGTGTGGAGGCTAGACAACTTTTGGGAATTGGTTCCTTCTGCAGTGGTTTCTAGGGATCAAACTCAGCTCGCCAGGCTCGCATGGCGAGTGCTTTTACAGGCTGAGGTATCTGTCTCATTTGTTTGTTTTTGAACGTGGGTTAATGGGAACTGAATGTAGGTCCTCATACTTTCAGGGCAAATGCTTAATCAGCTGAGATATCTCTTCAGTCCCATCTGGATCTTGCTGTTTCCAACAGATTGCTTGTGGCTGAGGGACATTTGTTCATCTTGTGGAGATGGGGAGCAGATAACTGGTCACCCTTGACAAGCAAGGCTTAGGGCTTGTCCCCAGGGGTTTAGGGTCTCTCCTGGTCTTGTGATATTTTTTGCTTTCATAGGGCTTACTGGGACACTAAGTTTCTCAGAAACACAGTGACTAGGATCCAAAAAGACATCTTGTCCCTTGTAGGCTGGGCTGACTAGAGAAAGGCCTAGACGGCCTCCTTTATTCCCTGGGGGCCTTTCAGGACAGAATGAACAGAGTGGTTCTTGAAATGTGGGCAGGTGACACAGTTGGCTTTTGTATAAGGAAGCAGTGGCCATTCTCCCCCAGAATGCCTTCTTCCCTCAGGACTCGCATCCAAGGACTTGTTGATCCAACCACACAGGATTTGCTGCGTGGAAGGAAGCCAACGGCTTAATCATAAGAATGAGACCAGCTTGCAGAGCCAAGGGCCTCAGCCAGCTGGGGGCTGGGCTCACGGGAGCCCAGGGAGTGGAGAGGCCCTGGGGTGGGCTCCTATAGTCAGTCCCCCAGGAGAACAGAACATTGGGGGCTCGTATAAGGGTGAGGACAGGCCACTAAACAGTGACTTCTGCCAGGTGCCACCTTCACCTCCCTCAGGGGACTCTGGTGTATTCCTGAGGGAGAACAGGCTGCCTGCCACTCACTCCTGGCAGCCGGGTGTTACCCCACAACTGTATCCCGACCAATTGTAGTCTCGGGTGCTGGTGGACAGCCGCAGACAACAGAAACCTCTGCTTTTTTAGCTGCACGGAGGCTTTTCTGGGGCCCAGAGCATTAGGGGGATGGGCTGTCCCCTGACTAGATGCCCATGCAGGTGGGGGTGTCCTGATGCATCTTATTTGTGCAGCTTTCTGTCTCCTTGTCTTTAGTGCCCTGGGGTAGCAGCACTGTGTGTATGTGTTTGTGTATGCCTGGGTTTTGCTCTGTACCCAGGTTAGCTTTGAACTCATGTAAATCTCTCTGCCTCAGCCTCCCTCCCGAGTACTAGGATTGTAGACATGAGCTGCCACACACCTCAAAGGAAGTGGCTTTTACACAAACCTGGAAGTCTTTCGGAAGAAGCAGCTTTTGAATCTGTTTTCTGAATCAGGCTTGGGCAGGATCCCATGGGATGGAGCTCACATACATGCTTAGAACCCCCAGAGGTTGCTTGCCTTAAATCAGCATGTACAGTGTGTGCATGTTTGTATATACATGGGTGTGCGTATCTAATCATCTATCATCCATCCTTTTGTTTTTATTTCTTGTTTATTGATGTATATTCACTGTTCTCTTGCTGGGTCTCATAGAGACATTGTCTCCCAAGTGCATCATGTACTCTGACTGTATTCATCCTCTGCCCTGTCCTTTCTCCCTTCCTCCCCACCTCCCCTTCTTTCCCTCAGTCTTGCTTACATCTTATTTTAATCCTTAAACACTATGCTTAAGAATAATCTGTGCCGATGAAACTGTTTTATCTCCATGAAAAGTCTGGGTCACTGCGTTCGTGTTTAGCTCAGTATCATGGGAAATTATGCACATAAAAGAAGTTGAAAGCCGGGCGGTGGTGGCGTACGCCTTTAATCCCAGCACTCGGAAGGCAGAGCCAGGCGGATCTCTGTGAGTTCGAGGCCAGCCTGGACTACCAAGTGAGTTCCAGGAAAAGGCGCAAAGCTACACGGAGAAACCCTGTCTCGAAAAACCAAAAAAAAAAAAAAAAGAAGTTGAACACTTCATGTGGTAGCTAGGTAATATGTGTGTTTTTGTTTTATATATCAGTTTTTAAAAATTAAAAAAATACTTGAGTAAAGTCTAAAATATGAAGAAATTATCTTCAGAAAATGGTTTTTGTTTTCATTTTTATACTTCTGTATATACTAAGGTATCCCCCCTGCCAACCAGGATTGAGGCTTGGGCCAAGGCTTGGCACAAAACTAGGAAAACTTGCTAACACTGAACCATCCCCAGCCCCTTTTCACTTATTTGTTTTAACATTCATTTACTTGTATGTGTGTGGGTGCCGCAGTGTCTGCGTATGGCCATAGAAGAACTGCCAGTCAGTTCTCTCCTTCTACCACGTGGGGGTGGTGGATCAAACTCAGGTCATCAGGTTTAGCAGCAAGCACCAATACATCCCTTTTACTTCTTCTCAGCACCTGGAGAGAGAAACCAAGACCTGGAGGGACAGGTTCTTACTGAGCTCCCAGGCTGGCCTTGAATTCACTCTAGCCCAAGCGACCTCGAACTTGCAATCCTCCTTTCTCAGCCTCCTGAGTAGCGCAGGTCTGCATTACCGTGCTCAGCCATCTTACATTTTTAACACTTTTTTTCCAGTGTTGGGAATGGAATATAGGGCCTAGTATAGAGCTAGTGAAGTGCAATCCTATGAGTCCTGTGCCCCGCCCACCACCACCCCTGCCCATCTGATCTCCTTTTAAAACTTTATTCACAAAGGATTATTTTTATTTTATGTGTGTGACTATCTTGTCTGCATGAATGTATGTGTACCATGGGTGTGCCTTGGTACCTGCAGAGGTCAGAAGAGGGTTTGCATCCCTGGAACTGGAGTCACAAACAGCTGTGAGCCACCACGTGGGTGCTGGGAATCAAATCCTGGTCCTCAAAAGCAACAGGTACTCTTAACTGCTGAGCCATCTCTCCAGACTCTTCTAATTAAATGGCTTTAAAAAAAATTTTTTTTTTTGTTTTTGTGGGTTTTTTTTTTCTTAAGACAGGGTTTCTCTGTGTAACAACCCTAACTGTCCTGCAACTCATTCTATAGACAAGGCTGGCCTTGAACTCACAGAGATCTGCCTTTGTCTCATCCTATAAATGTCCAGTGTTCACCTATGTCTGGCAGTCATGGGTGAGAGTCTCTCATGCCCATTACAGGATGGCTGTGTCTGTATTCCCTGGGCAGAGTGTCCACTTTCTATCAGGCTCTTGAAGTGCTGGGATTAAAGGTATGCACCACAACCGATAAACTTCTAATCAAATTTTATTGATTATAATCCACATATCATAGTTTTCTTTTAAAAATGTACATACTAGGCCGGGCGGTGGTGGCGCACGCCTTTAATCCCAGCACTCGGGAGGCAGAGGCAGGTGGATCTTTGTGAGTTCGAGGCCAGCCTGGGCTACCAAGTGAGTTCCAGGAAAGGCGCAAAGCTACACAGAGAAACCCTGTCTCAAAAAACCAAAAAAAAAAAAAAAAAAAAAAAAAAATGTACATACTAGTGACTTTTAATACACTCACAAAATTGTGCAACTAGTTATTTCTTGAATGAGAAGGCCCCTTGTGGGTGCGGATTATTGATAGATGAGCATCCTGCTAGGCTTAGGGACATGTGAGTCCAGGGCTGATCCATTCAGGGCTTCTCCCACCCATGCTCAGACGCCCAACTGTAAGGCATTATCTCCTCTGACTAGCTTATGGCCTCTGGGGAACCCACATTCAACAGGCAGGTGGAACGGGAAAGCCCCCTTGGGGGCAAGCCATCAGATCCGTCCTGCCTCTGCTGCAGGCTTTGGTGGTGGTTTCCAGGCCACTTACAATTCCTTTGGGCCCCTGCTATGAAGTAGGATCCCTTTCCCAACAGCCCCTTGCAGACCCACAGTTCACTTGGCCTCAGGGGCATCCCAGCCTCTTAGTCCAGTGAGCTCTCAGCAAGCCAACTTTCGTGCAGTAGGCCCAGCGAACGCTTGGCTCCAGGGATCTGCCAGCTAAGCTCCTGCACCAGGTTTCCCAGCTGGTGCCAGAGCGCAGAAGAGGTTTGGTCCAGTCAGGGAATATGCACTCTTTGGTGTATATAATTTTAAGACACATTTCTGACCTACAGCTTTCCTATTGAC